ACATGAAAAATTTGCATTATTGTTGCTAGAAAATTACTTAAAACCCCCAGACATTATACATGTTTTTTTTAAAGCAGAGACTGTTGAGAATAAAATGTCACACAATATTTACACAGTGGTTTTTCAAATTTTTGCAAGTTTTTTTGAAATAATACATTTTACTGAATTTTAATGAACACAACATAATATCCAGTTTTTTGGTAAAAAAATGAAAAAAAAAAATGTGTTACAGCAGGGGTCGTCAACCCGTTGATCACACCCAGGTGATGGATAGATTGCATCTCTGTATTGCTGACCCCAGTCTAAACTGCTCCTTCTCAGTGTCCTACTAGTGCGGTGCGGTCAAAGAGAGAGCTAGGCAGAGCAGGGTGAGAAGTCCAAAACAGGGAAAGAAAGAGCTGGGCAAAGCAGGGGAGGACACTTGCTCTCACACTGCACTACCTCTCTCACTAAAGCAGCAGTTGGGGGCTCACTGGGGATGCTGTGACTGCCGAAGTTTCTTTAGCACTGCGTAACACAAAAAATTACCTATGAGGCAGTACCCCACAATGAGCCCACATCACCGGCTTTAGTGAGAGAGGGAGCCCAGTGCGAGAGCCGGTCTTTTACGCCGCTCCAGACATCTCACTCTGAGCTGCTCCAACAGTATATATATACAACGAATGTCATCTGGTGAATTAGTGCAGGGAGGGCTGTGTTCCTTCTGTTCTTGCAGTTCTGTACCCTGTTGTTAAAGGGATGAGGGAGTTTTCTGCAGGGTGGATAAAAATCGATTATTTAAAAAAAAACCTTAAAAATAAAATTAAAAAATAAAGATTTGTTTTTTTTTTTTTTATTTAAATTGGATTTGTTTTAGTTTTTTATCAAATGTATTTTAATATAATGCTTTTGGAGTAAAAATCTATCTAAAAAGATAGTTTTCTATTTAAGATACATTCATAATTTAGTTTATTTAGCATGAAATGGAACTTAGTTTATGTAGCATGCTGCTGTATATTCTGCAATATTTACATTTTTGGTAAACTCATTCAATGAATCCAAGCTCTGCAAGCTGAGATAACATGCTGCATTGATGCATTCACACAATTTCACAGTAACCTTGAGAAAAAACATGAAATAAAAGAATCTGAGTAGTTCTCCAACTAGGTGTGATGAACCTATTAACCTAAAATCGGTTCTGATATCGCTGTTTTACTAACCTGACAGCTTATTATTCTAAAAAGAAAAACCTTCATTTGGTTTGCAAATATTAAAGATTCTAACTACCAGCAAGAATGAGTCAGATTCCCTATATTTAAAGAGCACCTGTCATTTTAGATCCATCACAGCAGCGCCTGTTAGTGGGCATCCACTCACCTGCTGCCGCCGCCACGTCCCTCACCTTGTTGTGTCACTGCCACATCACCAGCCATCCCATTAAAGTGAATGGGACTGTCGGTGAGTCAACAGCGAGTCAGAGGAGCTACTGTGGGACAGAGATGACAGTTGCTCTTTAAAAATTATGATTTAAATCGAGATTTTTCACTAGTGATTTAAATCAAATCCACCCTGGTTTTTTGTACTGAGGCATATTTTGAGATAGTCATTGCTCTCTGCTCATAGCGTCGGTGAGAACTCAGCGATCAGCAGTCATGTGATTGCGGAGTTCTCACACTTAGAGCCGGTGGGTGACCGATGCTGCATCCACCTAGGTAAGTATAATTTGGGGGGGGGGGGGACCTCTTTTAAGGATTTTATCATGGGTCACCATTTCTAGTACACTACACTCACCAGCCACTTTATTAAGTGCACCTGCTTAATTGCTTGGTAACACAAATTGCTAATCAGCAAATCACATGGCAGCAATTCAATGCATTTAGATATGTTGACGTGATGAAGACAACTTGCTGAAGTTCAAAACAAGCATCAGAATAGGGAAGAAAGGGGACTTAAGTGACCTTGAACATTACATGGCTGTTGTTGCCATATGGGCTGGTCTAAGTATTTAAAAAACTACTGACCTACTGGGATTTTCTCGCACAATCATTTCTAGGGTTTACAGAAAATGGTCCGAAAAAGAGAATATATCCAGCGAGCAGCAGTTGTGTGGATGAAAATACCTTGTTGATGTCATAATGTTTCATTTGTGAGTATAATTATCCACTTTTAATCACTGTTAAGTGCTTATGTACGCTTGCAACTAGAGAAACTGTTAAGTAGATGTATTATAAGTCTCTGTAGGACTGTGAGACGCACCATCTACTCAGCAAGGAGATTTCTCCGTTGACCTGGAATAGGTGAAAGCATGGTGACAGTCTGCAGGAGTCAGAATAGGGGTTTATCTGTCCAGGTGATTTTAAGCCTTGAAGCGCTTGTGCAGTTGAGAAGAATTTTGTCGGAGCTCTACATGAGTTCAGTACAGCTTCACCCTGCACAAAGAGTAATCACTGGGAGAGAAACACATAGGCCAGCTCGCATAACATTGCTTCCTTGCTTTGCAGTGATGATGGGAAATTCCCACGGTAAGGGGAAGTACCCAGACCCTCCTAGGCCACTGCGTGAAGTGTTAAGAGAAAGAAAATTGTTATAAAAATTAACTAAGGAGAATACATCAGCTCTAGGAAAATCCCAAGTAGCAGCTAATGAGACATGTAAAGAGTATGTTGCCCGAGTGTCACCTTGGGATGATTATTATGTTGTCCCGTGGGTGGACAGCTTGGCGGGGTGGAGTTCAACCATGGGGAGTACCAGTCCTTTTCTCGGAGATGGGGACAATGATGATTTTCACATGGATATGATAAAGGGGATATGTTTAGGGGTCAAAACTGCCTTTCCCTATTTTGGTCCAGATCCTGAGTGGGATATGAAATATATGAGAGGGGGTGAAATATATGAGAGTGGGATATGAAATATATGAATTGGTTGAAGTATGCCCCAGGATATAAGCACCTGACACCAATCCCTTCTGCCCCAGTAACTAAACAGAGTAATAACCCTTTTTGTGACACCTTTTTGACGCCTGCCACTGCGCTTCCTGATTATATTCAGCTGTATCCTCAGCTCCCTAAGGAGAAGGATGAGGATTATTTGTTGTCACATAATCGGAGGAAACATGCATTACACTCTGTCCCAGCCCAAGAGCCCCACCATCTCCCACCAATGAAGGAGGCTGTTTGTTAGTGATCGTTGGTGATGGGGGAGGATTCTTTGGAAAAAGAGCCAGGTTCAGGTTTATCAATGCAAGAAATAAATAAGGACTGGAAAGAGACAAAAAGTTATGTTGAGAAAGACATCAGACCAGATGCAGCAAACTGTGGCTGGTCTGTCGCCTGGGACAAGGAAGGAGAAAGGTAAAAAAGGCAAGTAAGCAAAAAAAGCAATGAAATCAGGCAGACAGACATCAATGGTAAGAAAGCAGACAGTACAGGTGAGGGACAAAGCAAGTGAGGAGTCAGAAGATGCAGGAGATGGCGAGGTGAGTAAGCAGGAGCAGGATAATTCAGAAGAATTTGGTAAGTATCATTTGAGGTGCAGGAGACGACAAGGGAGCCACTCAAGCTTACCCTGCATTATTGTGGGCAATGACGTTGTAATTAAACCGATGGATATGGCTGAAGTTAACAGCATTATAAAGGGTCCTGATCCTCGGAAAAACCCAATTGCTTCCATCAACTACTTGAAAAGAGCAACTCAGGGACGACAATGTTCACAACAGGACATGAGGATAATCATTGATGGAATTTTGGGATATGATATGGAATCAGGTTGGATTTGGGACAATGCGCCTACTATTTCTTATTTTCATGAAACACGTAAACCGGCTGCAGACTACAAGTAGAGAACGGTCGTGGGACAGGAACAGATGTGGAAAGAGTTAAATGAAGAAATGAGAAGGTTATGGAAAGATAAACAGTCACTAGCTACATCAGTTGCTTGTAAGCAGGGCAGCAAGGAATAAGCTACGGAGTTCTTAAAAAGATTTAAGAAAGTCTGTAAAGAAGAGGCAGGATTAGATTTGACAACAAGGGAATTAGGAATTATATATATATAGGCAGTTATGCAGGGGTTGAAACCGGAGATTTCACTACTGATCAAACAGTTAAGTGTCGGAATGTGCAAACATTGATGTTAAAACATTTGAAGCCAGAGTAATGGAAAAGATTCAGCGGGCTGTTTTGATTTTCTTAAAGTAAAAAGGTTCATTTACAAGGATTACAGTATTGTGATCCTAGAAATGCCAGACCGAGGGATCAGAGGGGAGTTTAGGAGCAACCCCAGGGGGAGAGGAAGAGGGGAAAGAGTTAGAGTTTTTAATCCCACTTCTGACACCAGTTTTGTCAGGATCAATTTAGGGCCCTCTTCCTGCATACAATGACATACAGTTCAAAGTACTTTGGGAACACTACGACACAAATACCTAGATGTGTGAGGCAGAATTCAACTTCTTCATTATTGATCAGGCCTTAAGTAATAAATGATAACAGTGTATATTTCAGGCAGTTTCCATAAAGCACCAATCATAATACAGTAAAAAGATTTCAGTAAACTACTATATGACTAGTCATAACAAAAATGCAACAGAATAGTAACTTCTGCAATTTCTTAGGGGAAATATGTGTGCGTAGATAACAGCATTTCAATCCCAAGGGAACATCTTGAATGAAATAAACCAGTTAGTAGGCACAAAGCAAAAGTTAGTTAACTATTAACCCTGTCACAGTTCAGTGGGGTTGCTGGCAAGATGAATTAAATGCTGGTTTCTAATTTATGTTGGAGACTACTGGGATGTAATACTCCTTCCAGAAGTCTATAACCTGATAGATTATCGTCCAGCAATAAAAAAAAGTAGCGAATGATGCCTTTATTATGAATTTGTGTAACAAACGACGACAAAGAAATGCTGTCATTCCAGACATCAGAATCTGGTAGAGAATTCAAGCAAGTGTGAAATGTCACGAAAAAGTAAAAATAAAACAACTGACCTTTGATAAAACTCCCTTAGACTCTTTCTTGTATCCCCGGAGTTCCTCATGAAGACTTTGCAATTGCTGCATTACTCTTTGTTGATGATCATCTTTCCTTAGAACACAATCCTTGACTAAAATGTCATAGTGTTGAAGAGGTCCACTGCAGTCTCTGAGTTCTTTAGAATATGTATTTGTTTCAAAACTTGGAAGGGAATTCTCAGCTAAATGGCTTACAAATGCTGGAAGACAAAAATCATAGCATTATTATCTGGTAAATGTATCTGCAAAGTTATGCACAGATGGGAAAAAGGCCAATACGTCACCCTATTGAAATAATGAGTGATGTAAATAGCTTCTCATGCAAATGTTTTGACTTCAGATGTATTCCTTATATAGATTTGTCTTATGCCAGGTTCAGCTATGTTCTGCCCCCTCCTCTTCAGGGATTTACTATTAGTCATTAAATAAATGGGCTGCTTCATCAACCAACAGTGATGTGGGTGAGGGGCCACAGCTCAGACATCTCCATGTTGTATTCAGTATTTGCAATTTGTAGGTTTGAGTGCCTACTAATGAGTGTCAGTGGTTAAAGTAGGCAGGGGCTACATTTAGGCCTCGTTCACACCATGGTGCAGAGACGTGAGTTTTTCAGTGTGCGTTCTGCAAGAACATAAAAAAACACCATTTTTCCCTATGTGCCCTGTTTTCACCATAACACTGGTATCACGTGCAAATTTTTTCTGCGCACGAATCTGCAAAAAAACTGACATGACATCAACGCTATGGTGTGAACAGGACACATAACTAACCTGCAAGAAAACTGATGTCAACCTGTATATAAAAACTCACTGAAAACGCGCATGAAAACTGATCTAAACTCATGTCTCTGCAAGTGAAATCTACATGGTTTTCCCACCAGTTTTCATGCATGTATGTTGTGAACGAGTGCTTAAATAACTGCTCTGCTATGCTGGAATCAGATCTTATATTAATATTATTATTATTATACAGTATTTATAAAGCGCCAATGGTTCGCTCAGCGCTGTACATTACAAAGGGGGACAGAACATGTGACAGAACAATACCAATACAATGTAAAACATGAGGGGATCGAGGGCCCTGCTCTTTCGAGCTTACAATCTAGGATATAATAAATCAACTTCGAGTTTCCCAGTGTTTTTAGGCCTCATTCGTGCCATATGTGCAGAAAAATGAATGATAAAAATGCAGATTTCACTTGCAGAGACACAAGTTTTCAGTTTTCATGCGCGTTTCAGTGAGTTTTATCCATGATGCAGATTCCTGCACAGAAAATATCTGCATGTGATACCAGTGTTGTGGTGTGAACAAGGCACATGGGAACAATGTTTTTTTCTTTGTGCCCTTGCAGAACCTGTGCAGAAAAACTCATGTCTCTGACCCATGGTGTGAACAAGGCCTAAATGTCTTTCTCTTCCTGTCAAACGTGTTATCTTCACAACTTGTTCTATGCAATATCAGTAGTTAAAGCATAACTAAACAGTTTAATAAAACAGTGCTGGGAATGCGATAGGTCACATTTGCTTGTGCTCTCAACCAAACTGTCAAACCATCAAATGTCTGGTATCATAACTGATCACATGTGCAGCATCATGGCAAATGCAAATCAAACAAAGGCTAAAAAGGCAGCTTCCTTGACTGAAAAGGATAGGAGGGTTTAGTTTCATTTTAAAACGTCCTAGACTTTAAGGCTTCATTCACACCATACGTGCAGAAAAATTGATGGAAAATTACATGCAGATTTTACTTGCAGAGACATCAGTTTTCATGTGCGCTTCAATGCAGGTTGCTGATTCCTGTGCATAAAAAATCTGCACGTGACACTAGTTTTGTGGTGTGAACAGAGCACATAGAGAATGACTGATTTTGTTGTGCCCTTGCAGAACACGTGCAGAAAAACGGAAGTCTCTGCACCATGGTATGAACGAGCCCTGAGTGTTTAACCATTTACCCTCCGGAAGATTTACACCCCCCCCCCCCATTTCATGACCAGCCCATTTTTTGCTATACAGCCCTGTGCTACTTTAATTGACAATTGCGCGGTCATGCAACACTGTAAACAAATTAAATTTATATACTTTATTTCACATAAATAGAGCTTTTGCTAGTATTTCATCACCACTGGGTTTTTATTTTTTATCATTACAAAAAAAAAGTCTTCAGAAATTTAGCCCAAAGTGTAGGAAGAAACAGCACAAGGAACCAATCAATTGAGCTGTAGTGCTCTGAGTGACAGAAAGGGGAGTTAGCACATCTGCTGCTTCTCTTTTCAATGTGCAATCACAAGCTGGGGATGGGAAGGGGAACAGAAAGTGTTAGGCCTAAAGTGATTGTAAATCCTTAGGCCCCATGCACACAGGGCATTTTTGCAGCCACTTTTAGGGATATCAGACATTTTTTTTACAGCTTTTAAAGCCCATTCATGTTATCCTATGTGTCCATGCACACATAGACTTTTAGCTTTTATTGGCTGTAAAAAAAAACTCACAGCCAGTGCGTCCAAGAGCAGTAGCATTCTGGCAGAAAAACCGCTTGACGCATGTAAATGCGCCTAAACACGTGTTAACTCTATGTGTGTTTAGTGCATGAGCCTTAATTGATTTCAATTGCCAGAATAAATTAATTTTGCAAGCATATTTTCTGCCAAAACGCTGCTGCCAAGAGGAGCAGTGTTTTTAAAACATCCAAGGCCTTTCATTTACCAAGTGAAGTGACTGGCCTCAGGTGAAACACAGAGATTAACTGCTTCCCGTCCACCCTATAGCAGAAGTATTGCTACACGGCGGCACGAGTGCGCAAAATCATGTACATATATACATGATTTTGCATTTCCAGGTAGCAATAAGAGAAAGTTGCAGTCGGACTGATGAAAAATACTGTTTGGCGATAGTTAAATTCAAGCTGTATTAAAAGCCAGAGGTAGTACAACAAAGTACTAGTAGTTTAGTGGTTTTTTTTCATGATTCCATAATATTTTCCTCAGAATTGAGTGGTTCCATATTTTTTTCCTCTGCTTGACCTGCAAAAACAGTTGCAACTGACTACAGTACAGTTTTATTTTTTATTTTTTTAAGTGTTTCTTAAAACCAGAAGGTTGGAATGTTAAATGAAAATAGTTTTGAGGCATGTCTGTGACTGTTTTTTTCTACACAATTAAACTATTGAAGGAACATTTTCCAAGAGTGGTGATTCCATACTTTTTGCCAGGGGTTTTAAACTGCTACAGGGTGGCCCTACTGTGCAAAATTACGTATGTAAACGTGATCCTGCACTTCCGCCTAAGGGGCATGCATGCACGCAGCTGCTGGACCGCTTCGGCTGTGAGTATTCACAGCGGAAACCAATCTGTGGGTACTGGGCAGTGGATGTCTAATGACACATGCCGATCATCAGGGAGACACACAGAACTGAGCTCTGCCTATGCAAACAAGGCAGAACTCAATTCTGACAGGGGGGAAGTGATGGATCTTGTGTCCCAGCAAAGCAGGGAATAACATACGTCACTTCCCTTAGTCAAAACAGTACAGTTTACACAAAAGCAGAAGCTAGGCACAAGGTTAACCCTTTGATCATCCTAGACGTTTAACTCCTTCCCAACCAGTCATTAGTACAGTGTCAGGGCATTTTTTTTTTTTTTTTTTTTTTTAGCACTGATCACTGTATTAGTGTCACTGCTTTTCACAAAGTCTCAGTGTCCGATTGTCCTCCACAATATCTTCCCACTATAAGTCACTGATCGCCACCATTACTAGTATAAAAAAAAATAAATTTTCCATAGATTGTAGATGCTATGATTTTTGCACAAACTGATCAACACACGCTTATTGGGATTTTTCTTTAACCAAAAATATGTAGCAGAATACATATTTCCCTACATTTATGAAGAAATTTGATAATTTAATTTTTTTTTTATTGGATATGTTTTATAGCAGAAATTAAAAATAGTTTGTTTTTTTTGTCTTTTTTGGGTTATAGTGCAAAAAAATACCATCAAAAGAAAGCTCTATTTGTGGGGAAAAAAATGGCATCAATTTTATTTGGGTACGTTGCATGGCCATGCAATAGTCAGAGTATTAGAGTAGCCATATTACAAAAAATGGCCTTGGTCTTTTTAAATCTTCCGAAGGGCAAGTGGTTAGAAAAGCCCATTCAGCTATAAAAAACAAAAAAACAAGCATTCAAAGGGAAGTGTACATGAATTCAGTGTATAGCCACAGCTGCACCACTCTGTGAAAAGCGATCAACCATAAAAATCTCTTCAAAGAGCAACACAAGTGTAACCCCTGGTTCACATATATGCGGCCTTGTGGGCCACGATTTGCATGGGGACGAGAGCCAATTCATTTGAATGGACTCCTCTGCCCCGTAGGGAAAAAGTCCCTGCACTTCTTCTGAAAACACAGCCCGCACGGGAAGCTCGGTTCCCAGTACAGTTGCGTTTTCCAGTGCAGGTGGTGTGCCATTAGAACTCATGGCGCCTGCCCATGGGTCTGCATTCCTCTGTGCGGATGCACGGAATTTCGTGCGGATCCGCAGCCGCACCACCCGCATATATGTGAACCTAGTCTAACCCCTGGTTCACATATATGCAGCCGTGCAGGCCGCGTTTTGCGTGGGCACGAGAGCCCATTCATTTTAATGTACTCCCGTGCCCCGTGACACTCAGGCAGTAAGTCCCTGCACTTCTTCTGAAAACGCAGCCTGCACGGGAGCCTCGGTTCCCAGTACGGTTGTGTTTTCCAGCGCGGGCGGCGTGCCATTAGAACTAATGGCACCCGTACGCGGGTTGGCATTCCTCTGTGTGGGTGGTGTGGCTGCACGGATTTTCGTGTGGATCCGCAGCCGCACCACAAGCACGTATGTGAACCTAGCCTAACCCCTGGTTGTCATATATGCGGCCACGCAGACCCCATTTTGCACGGGCACGAGAGCCCATTCATCTGAATGGACTCCCGTGCCCCGTGAAACGCAGGGAAAAAGTCCCTGCACTTCTGAAAACACAGCCCGCATGGGAACCTCGGTTCCCAGTATGGTTGCGTTTTCCAGTGCGGGCAGCCTGCCATTATAACTAATGGCACCTGCCCGCGGGTCCGCAGTCCTCTGTGCGGGTGGTGCGGCTGCACGACTTTTCGTGCGGATCCGCACATATGTGAACCTAGCCATATGCTCGGTTCACATCTGTGCGGGTGGTGCCGCTGCGGATCCGCAAACGCAACCCTACTGGGAACCCAGGTTCTAATGGCACGCCGCCTGCACTGGAGAACACAACCATACTGGGAACCCAGGTTCTAATGGCACGCCGCCTGCACTGGAGAACACAACATACTGGGAACCCAGGTTCTAATGGCACGCCGCCTGCACTGGAGAACACAACCATACTGGGAACCCAGGTTCTAATCCCGTGCACTGGGAACACAACCATACTGGGAACCCAGGTTCCCGTGCGGGTTGCATTTTTCAGAAGTGCAGGGACTTCTTCTCTGTGTGTCCCGGGGCATGGGAGTCCATTCAAATGAATGGGCTCTCATGCCCATGCAAAACGTGACCCGCAGGAATCCAGAGATGTGAACAAGGGATAAAGGAGCCCTTGCAGAGCTGATAGAAATCTCCAGGCAGACAAAACTATAATATAAGTAGTTGGTGGTTTCAGCAGATTTCAGCCACTTAACACCCCAATGTCATTTTAGGGGCTCTGTGTGCTTTCCAACATTAAACAGGAAGCCATGTATCAGCCTTTCCTTTAGCGGAACAATACCATGTGAACACTGCAGCTATAGGACATCACTGAGCCAGGCATGCAGTACTTTGCTGGCTTCCATCATTGCCTTCACACTACCAGCCGGCAGCTCTTCCTTTATGACCTGACTACACACATTGCACGTCACTAACCTGCCGACGGACTCCGCAGACAGGGTACGGACAGCCCTGGCAGCCTCCTTAGGTGGGCACCGTACCGTAGCCTTTGACAGCCCCGGTAAGTTGCCCATAAAGAGCGCAAGGAAACCAAGGGCGCAATGGGAGCCGCCATGTTTGAAGAGGCAGCGCTCAATAACTTTATTCAGTGCGCAGATGCGAACAGCCAGTGACAACTGTTGCCATGAGGGAACAGGCTGAGGCTTGTTATCTGGCAGCAGCGTGGACAAGCACTGGTTTCACTGGTGTGAAAGGTGCTAACAGGAGAGGTGTCCCTAGCCACCTATTGTTCTGTAATTATTCTCATCTTAAAACCCCCAATTTATACATACAGTCCACCTGTTTTTTGTTTTTTTTACTATTTTTGAGTATAGATCTGTTTATCCCAAACGTGTTTGAATCCAATAAAGCTTCCCTGTAGGTAAAGTGAGTATCTCCTAAATGCGCACCATTGAGATATTCTACTATGCAGCAACACGTGACGTCACCGCATCATGCGCTCTGAAGGAACAGCATACCCGTGTCGTTCCTTCAGAGCTCTGTGCCGTGGCTGCGTATCCCATGCGTGGGAGCGACGTCATTGCAGCTTGGCCATTCAAGCAGTCGCAGCCCGCGAACCCGGAAATAAGTTCAGGTAAAAAGCCTCTGCAGAGATGACCTTGCGCTGCTGGAGGGCTGTGTTTCAAGGAAAGTCTTTCATAATGTGCTAGTATGCCTTCACCTTGCAGGGAAAGTTTTTTTATTTCAACTTTTACTACCGCTTTAGCCCTGCTCACATGTGCGTTCCGCGTTTTGCGCGGGCACAAGAGCCCATTCATTTGAATGGACTCCCTGCCCCAGGACACACAGGGAAGAAGTCACTGCACTTTTTTGGAAACTGCAGCCTGCATGGGAACCTCGGTTCCCAGTGCAGTTGCGATTTCCAGTGCGGGCGGCGTGCCATTAGAATTAATGGCACCCGCCCACAAGTCCGCATTCTTCTGTGTGGCTGCATGGATTTTTGTGCGGATCTGCAACAGCACCACCCGCACATATGTGAACCTAGCCTTAAAAGCTAAGTTCACTTTTTGAAAAAAATTAATAAGTGCACATATTTTTGCAGGTAAAAAAAAATATTTTTTTTTTCTAAGGAGCCTGCAGAGTATTGCACCTGTGATCAGCAGATCATGGGTGCAGTCTTAGGCTCCTAAAGGCTATCTGCCTGTACCTCATACAGGCAGGCAGTTACTTGACAGCAGGAAGATCAATGGACTACAAGAGCACTCACCAGCACCCTCGCAGTTCATTGAGAACTGCAAGTCATCAGCCGCAATGGCTCACACTACTTGTAGTCTATCCATTCACAGGAAACTGTGAATGAATGACGCGGCCATGCTGGCAGAGCTCTGCAAAGCAACAAATTGTGACAGCTGGGAAAAGATCCCCCACCCACCATACATATCATCACAACTACTTTGTACATCCAGGTGAATTATACCTTGTATTTTTCAGGACAAATTGGGCTTTCACTTGGTGGTAAATGGTAGTGGATATCTCCTGATTTTTTTTTATTAATATTATCAAAGCAAAACTGGCCCAAAATAGTAAATTTAGCTATATATTTCTTCCTACTTCCATAACCTACCACCAAAGAATAACCCAAAATAAATTCTCCTGCTCCTGTTGATCGTTTGCAGCGATACCCCATATGTGTATGTTAGTTGTTGTTTGTACTCGTAGTACAACCCAGAAACAATGGTGCGCATTTTGCTTTTTTTTTAGTCTACCTAAAACACACTGACACTGATACTAATTTAAAATTTATTTTTTTTAATCCTGCCCAAAAAAATACTGACCCTGACCTAATTCAAACCTTGGTCTAGGATTTTTTAAATTTAATTTTGTTATTTTTTTTTATTTTTTTTACACACTGTTGTTTTTTTCTCTCTACAAGGAGACAGAGATGCAATGTATCTCTCTCCTCCATTCAGAGACAGAAAACACAGGGGTGGGCTTCAGGCCCCATGTACACTGACACTTCTGAATGATGGAAACTGACTGCTGGAAAACGTAGGTTAAAAAATGTCTGTTTAGCCAAATTTGCATATCACGTTTATGAGCGTTTGCGTTTAGAAGCGTTTTTTAAAGATAACCTCAGGAGACCTTCCAGAATGCACTGAAGAAAACAGTAAAAAATTAACTATTTCAGACATTTTGATATAAATAGAGAGAGCAGAAGCAGAGAGAGCAGTATTTGTTGAGATTAGCTGTTTTTTTTTTTCCTTTTTGTGGTGTTTGGATGTGTTCCAGCTCATTTCTGTGCAGAAATTATTGCAGCAGTGTCTAACATATTTTTTTTCATGCAAAACCTCAAAGTATGGTGTGCTAGGTCCAGTAAATTAGTAAAATTACCAGTAAAACGCTTTGCATTTTTCATGATGCAAAAAGGCTTTGGACAGCATTTGGAAATGGAAGAGTTAAAAAAAAAGTTTCAAATGCCTATAAGCGCGTTTAGCCACATTTACAAGCGTTTTGTGTTTAAAACGCTGATAAAATCTGCTGAACGCAAGATTTCTGCATTCAAAAAAACAACTGTAAACTCAATTGCCTGTAAACGACAATGTGTACATTGACACATAGGAAAACATTAGGGTGAGTTCAGGGGCTGCTGAAAAAAACGCTGAACAGCTCCTGAATATGAGTTTATCATCTGCAGTGTATATGAGCCCTCATAGTGACTGATCACTGTGATAGCCAATCAGAGTGAATATATATATATATATATATATATATATATTTAATTTTTTTTTTTGAGAGAGAGACAGAGAGAGAGGGATGGCCAATGGGCAGTGGTATGCATAGAGACAGCAACTGATGTTAGTTGAAGACACACAGGATCAGTGCCTACTACCCTCCTACACTCTAAGCCCCCTTCCGCACCTCCCTGCCATCTTAACACCCTGCCAATTTAACACTTTGCCTCCCTGCCACTTTAACACTTTGCCACCTTAACATTTTACCTGCCACTCTAACACTTTGCTTCCCTGTCACCTTAACAACTTGCCTACCTGACACCTTAACACCTTAACACCTTTCCACCCTCTTGATACCCCACAACATCTCACCAGCTTACCTCCCCATACACATCCTGGAATGGACAACTGGAGATTATATCCCTCCTGGTGGTATCTCCAAGGCTGAGTAGTAGGCTTCCTTTCCATCCACACAATTCAACAGCAGCCGGCATGAGAGATGCTCTGCCTCCACCTCCAAGTTCTTTTTTTCTGTTTACTGGAGAGTCCAATGAAGAAAGGATATACCACTCAGGTAAAACAATCAACATCAAAACCAAAACAGGTGCAGACCCTGGCTTGCCACCATGTACACATGGTAAAGAAGAAGGGTTTGGCCGCACACGAGGTATGATGAAAAAAGTGAAGATAGTTTATTGATCCATAAAAGGACACAAATAGCACCAGGACATAACCTGGTTATGACTAAGCACGTGATTGTGTGAAACGTGTTAACAGCTAGCATTGTCCTGGTGTTATTTGTCCTTTTATGGATCAATAAACTATCTTCACCTTTTTCATCATACCTCCGGTTGTGCAGCCAAACCTTTCTTCTTTTCCATTTACTGGGGAGTGCCAGAGGGAGATGGAGGGTGAAGGGAGGGCAGCAGGGGTTTTTTGTTGAGCTAATACTAGGAAAAGAGCACTTGTACACACAGGACCCGTGACAGTAGTGAGTTGCAAGCACAGGTGCAGTGCCAGAGGTGACAGTGCAATTTTCAACCCATTATTTGACATGCATTACTCTTTTAAATTGCACCGCACCAAATCACGTAGTACTATGGTACCATATAATCTGGTGCAGGCTGTGCAGGTGTCGTTAAGAATATAATGATACATGCAGCAGATTGCACAGGTAGTGTGTTTTGAGCACTGCACAACAAACTTGACTGCACTGCACTAACCATGACTTTCCTGAACTGCATTCTGGTGCGAACCAGCCCTTAGAGATTAAAGCCACTTCAATGTACAGCAGTTTGCTTTATTTAATTGCCATAAAAAGGAGTGCTTTAAATCAAAGTGTACTAACTATTGGCATAATTTTCTTTGATTTCGTATGGCACCAGAAAGGGTTAGACCCCCTGTTAATTTTTTTTGTTCTGTCTTTATCCCCACTGAAGATGCTCTCTATTGTGCTGTCTTTATCTCCGCTGGAGATGCACCTCAGGTTCCATGTACACAAGCCTACCCTGACCGCGGAAAACTGCAAAATGCGGCAACCGCGGTACTGCAATTTTGCGGCATTTTACTTTTTCCAGCGGTCAAAACGTTCCTATCCTGAATGTGATTCTTCCGCGTTCAGAAGAGGGAGGTTAAACCTCACCTGAACATGGCAGCTCCTAAACTCTGCTAAAAGCATATGTTTACATGGACACATAGCTTTTTATGGAGTTAAGTTTAGGAGCTTTGGCAAAAAAATGCCAAAAGCTCCTAAACTCAAGTTTAGCAGCTGTTCATGTACATGAAGCCTTAGTCCTCATGCACAGTGGACGTTTTTACAACTGCTGTTTTAGGCTTTTGGTGTTTTTTTCTACAGCCAGTAAACTCCCCAGCATGTCATCCTACAGGCAGCACAGTGGCTAAATGGTTAGCACTTTCGCCTGGCAGTACTAGGATCGCTGGTTCGAATCCCAACCACAACACCACCTGCCTGGAGTTTGCATGTTCTCCCTGTGCCTGCGTGGGTTTCCTCCAGGTACTCCGGTTTCCTCCCACACTCCAAAGACATGCTGGTAGGTGAATTGGATCCTGTCTAAATTGGCCCTAGTATGTGTATGTATGAATGTGAGTTAGGGATCTTAGATTGTACGCCCCTTGAGGGTTAGGGACTGATGTGAATGCACTATATATATATCTAAAGCGCTGCGTAAATTGACGGCGCTATATAAGTACCTGTAATAAATAATAATAATGTGTCCATGCACAAATAGACTGTAATCTAACGCTGAAAAATGCGGTAAAATGTGGCAAACCAGCGTTTTTGGATTTTTTATTAGCTAAAAAAAAAAACGCGGCTAAACGCTTATGCAAAAATTATGAAAAACATGTTTTTAATGTGATTTTACAGAGCTAACAT